CTTAAGTACATGGAATGGAAGTTTGCCAAATCTTGACTTTGGAATCAGACCACTCCACAGGCTCAGATGCCCCTCTTCCTGTGTCATCCAGGTCAGAGTGCAGTGGCATGATCTCACCACTCACTGTAGCCTCGATCTCCTGGGCTCAAGGGATCCCCCCATCTCAGCCTCCCAAGTAGCTGGGACTACATACAGGTGCGTGCTCAGATAATTTTTTTGTAAAGACAGGGTCTCCCTATGTTGCCCATGTTGGCCTTGAACTCCTGGCCTCAAGCAATTCTCCCACTTCAGCCTCCCAAAGAGCCACCTCCCAAGTGAGGTGGCTCACGCCTGTCATTCCAGCACTTTGGGAGGCTGAGGCAGATACATCACTTGAGATCAGGAGTTCGAGACCAGCCTGGCCGACATGGTGAAATCCTGTCTCTACTAAAAATACAAAAATTAGCCAGGCGTGTTGGCAGCTGCCTGTAATCCCAGCTACTTGGGAGGCTGAGGCAGGAGAATCATTTGAACTTGAGAGGTGAGATTGCAGTGAGCTGAAACTGTGCCATTTTACCCCAGCCTGGGCCACAGACTAAGAACTCTATAAAAAAAAAAAAAAAAAAAAAAAAAAAAAAGAAGAAAAAGGAAAACTTTTTTAATTTTTAAAATCTTTATATTAAAAAACAAGAGAAAGAAAAAAGCACAACAGGATGACTACAGTCTGTAATTTTTTTTTTTTAAGATGGAGCTTCACTCTTATTGCCCAAGCTGGAGTGCAGTGGTGCGCTCTCCACCTCTCGGGTCCAAGCAATTCTCCTGCCTCAGCCTCCCAAGTAACTGGGATTACAGGCACGTATCACCATGCCTGGCTAATTTTGTATTTTTAGTAGAGACAGGGTTTCAGCATGTTGGTCAGGCTGGTCTTGAACTCCTGACCTTAGGTGATCCGCCTGCCTCTGTCTCCCAAAGTGCTGGGATTACAGGTGTGAGCCACCACACCCAGCAGTCATTAATAATTTAACTACTTTTTTTTTTTTGAGACAGGGTCACTCCTGTCTCCCAAGCTGGACTGCAATGGCGCCAACTCGGCTCACTGCAACCTCCATCTCCTGGGCTCAGGTCATTCTCCTGCCTTAGCCTCCAGAGTAGCTAAGACCACAGGTGCACACCACTGCACCCAGCTTTTTTCGTTTTTAAAATAAAGACAAGGTTTCAGCATGTTGCCAGGCTGGTTTCGAACTCCTGAGCACAAGTGATCTGCCTGCCTCCCCCTTCCAAAGTGTTGGGATTATAGGTGTGAACCACCTAGCTAAGACATTAACTGCACATTTCAAATTAACAGAGTGTAACTGGATTGCTTGCAACTCAATGGTTAAATGCTTGAAGAGATGGATACCTCATTCTTCATGATGTGCTTATTTCATGATGCATGCCCATATCAAAACACCTCACGTACACGATATACATCTCCTATATATCCATAAAAATTAAGAGAAAAAACAGATTATTTCCCATTTTCAAATCTAATGAGCCCCTTTAGAGAGGAAGCATCATTTCTTTCCTACTTTGGGCGCTTAAGCGACTTGCATTTCAATGCCCTGGGACAGGAGAAGCAGAAACTAAAATTATAATAATAGGTCAATACCAAATTTATTCATTCAAGAATGAGTGAAAAATGAAGCAATTTTACACCTTCATATCTTGAAAAACGCGTTTTAATATGGATATAGGATGTTGCTAAGTGCCATCATCGAATATGAATATTAAAATAGGAATGTGGCCGGGCGCGGTGGCTCAAGCCTGTAATCCCAGCACTTTGGGAGGCCGAGGCGGGTGGATCACAAGGTCAAGAGATCGAGACCATCCTGGTCAACATGGTGAAACCCCGTCTCTACTAAAACTACAAAAAATTAGCTGGGCATGGTGGCGCGTGCCTGTAATCCCAGCTACTCAGGAGGCTGAGGCAGGAGAATTGCCTGAACCCAGGAGGCGGAGGTTGCGGTGAGCTGAGATCGCGCCATTGCACTCCAGCTGGGTAACAAGAGCGAAACTCCGTCTCAAAAAAAAAAAAATAAATAAAATAAAATAAAATAAGAATGTGAATATGAAAATAAGATGTCACTCTGTAATCCCAGTGCTTTGGGAGGCTGAGGAGGTTAAGATTGCTTCAGGTCAGGAGTCTGAGACCAGCCTGGGCAACATAACAAAACCTCATCTGCACAAAAAATGAAAAAAAATTAGCTGGGCATGGTGGTTCTTTCCTGTGGTCCAAGCTACTTGGGAGGCTGAGGTGGGAGGATCCCTTGTGCCCAGGAGTTTGAGGTTATAGTCAGCTATGACTTTGCCACTGTATCCAGCTTCAGTGACTGAGTGATTCACTTGTTTCAAAAAAAGAAAAAAACAAAAAGCAGGGGGTGGGGCCAGGCATGGTGGCTCACACCTGTAATCCCAGTACTTTGGGAGGCTGAGGCAGGTAGATCGCCTGAGGTCAGGAGTTTGAGACCAGCCTGGCTGACATGGTGAAACCCATCTCTACTAAAAGTACGAGTGTGGTGGTGCACGCCTGTCGTCCTAGCTACTCGGGAGACCAAGACAGAATTGCTTGAGACCAAGAGGCAGAGGGTGCAGTGAGCTGAGACTGTGCCACTGCACTCCGGCCTGGAAGAGACAGAGACTCCATCTCAAACAACAACAAAAAATCAAAAAGCTTCTGGGCCGGCTTGGTGGCTCACACCTGTAATCCCAGTACTTTGGGAGGCCGAGGTAGGTGGGTAACCTGAAGTCAGGAATTCAAGATCAGCCTGATCGGCATGGAGAAACCCCATCTCTACTAAAAATACAATATTAGCCAGGCATGGTGGTGCATGCCTGTAACCCCAGCTCCTCGGGAGGCTGAGGCAGAAGAATCGCTCAAACCTTGGAGGCGGAGGTTGCGGTGAGCCGAGATCGCGCCATTGCACTCCAACCTGGGCAACAAGAGCGAAACTCGGTCGCAAAAAAAAAAAAAAAAAAAAGCTTCTGGAATAGCATTCCTGTCATGTATTTTAGAAGTGCAGAGGCTTCTCTAAAGTCACTCATTTTGACTTCTTCATAGTAGTTGGAGCAAATAATACTAGAGAGTCAAGAATACCAGTTAATTTCCCTTCTGACTATATAAAGGTGAATAAAAGTAAACATAACTTGGAAATATCCTTTTAACCCCACCAGTGTTTGCAGTTAAATCTGAAACTACAGCGCATAGGTATTAGAAATGAGTATCTTTCTAGACGTTCAGATTGAAAAACAACCTTCATGTACAATATACTGAAATTCCAGTGAAAGAACTAATGGAAGACTGTGGGCTTTACTGGTCTTCTTCTTAGTATCATCTTTTTGTTCCCTTATTAAATTTGCTTTAAATCCAAGGGGGTAACATCTGGTAATTTCTTTTTTGAATGTTGAACTAGGATATTTAAACAATCCCAGCGCTATCAGAATAAAGGTGAGCTCTTCTGATGGGTGACTCAGAGTGCTGTGTTGTGCTCCTGTTCTGCAAGAGCAGAGATCCGTCTGGGCACAGGGTTAAAGACCTCAGTGGGAATAACCGTTCTTCAACACATTCTGGATTCACAGCCAAATACGGCAGCTGCGCTGTCTCACACTTAACAAGGTACCTGGTCTTAACTTCTGGAACTATATCCAGGAGTCCTGTGGGCCACTGATAAAACAGTTCTTTAAACATTCTTGCCTTTGGGCCAGGTGGGATGGCACAGGTATACCAGCACTTAGGGAGGCTGAAATGGGCGGACCACCTGAGATCAGGAGTTCCAGACCAGCCTGACCCATCTCTACTAAAAAAACAGAAAATTAGTCGAGCGTGGTGGCACATGCCTGCAATCCCAGCTACTAGGGAGGCTGAGGCAGGAAAACAGCCTGAACCCAGGAGGCGGAGGTTTCAGTGAGCTAAGATCATGCCATTGCACTCCAGCCTGGGTGACAAGAGCGAAACTCTATCTCAAAAAAAAACAAAACAAAACACAAAAAACTCTTGTCTTTGCTTCAAAGTAGGGAAAAGAGGATACTTCAGGAAATTTTTTATAGCTTATTTACTGTCAGAAAGTTATATATATTCGGCCGGGCACGGTGGCTCAGGCCTGTAATCCCAGCACTTTGGGAGGCCAAGGTGGGCAGATTACCTATGGTCAGGAGACCAGCCTGACCAACGTGGAGAAACCCTGTCTCTACTAAAAATACAAAATTAGCCGGGCATGGTGGCGTATGCCTGTAATCCCACCTACTTGGGGAGGCTGAGGCAGGACAATCGCTTGAACCTGGGAGGCGGAGGTTGTGATGAGCTGAGATTGTGCCATTGCACTCCAGCCTGGGCAGCAAGAACAAAACTCAGTCTCAAAAAAAAGAAAGATAAAAGGAAAGTTATATATATTCATCTCAGTAGTCTGAAAGCTGAGATGATCAATCTGCATGTAATTGGAAATGGACAAAGAAGAAAAATTGCTGGGAAATTTGTCCTGGTCCATACACCACCATCAAAATGTGACACTTTTTTTTTTTTTTGAGATGGAGTCTCACTCTGTCACCCAGGCTAAAGTGAAGTGGTGTTATCTCGGCTCACTGCAACCTCTGCCCCCACCCCTGCCCCCCCGGATTCAAGCAATTCTCCTGCCTCAGCCTCCCAAGTAGCTGGGATTACGGGCATGCACTACCACGCCTGGCTAATTTTTGTATTTTTAATGGAGACAGCGTTTCACCATGTTGGCCAGCCTGGTCTTAAACTCCTGACCTCAGGTGATCCACCCGCCTTGGCTCCCAAAGTGCAGGGATTATCAGCATGAGCCACCATGCCCGGCCAAAATGTGACACTTCTTCCCTGTCTAGCAGTGCAAGATCTTAAAGTCAGATTACAAAACAAGTTGTATGCTGACTTTATCATTTTTCTCTGCATTTCTAGGGCATGTTTCTCTGAACTACTTAAATCCTTCATAGTATATTGAGCATAAAAGAGGACGCAAGCCAAATGCATACTTAAATTAAATAGCATGATTTAATTTAGTTGCTGCTTAACCCTGAATCCTCTTAAGTTAAAAAAAAAAAGTTATAATTAACTGTTAACGTTAATGAATTTAAACCTTCCAGAAAGCATGAATCCAAAAGGAAATGTCCAACAGGTGACATGAGCCAGATATTTTATGGCCTTTCCTGTTTCAGTCTCAATCATTCTAAACATCAATGGGGAAAAAAAATTCTCTAGAGTTTTTCAGTTTTATTCTTCTAGAGCACAATTTTCTGGCCTGTTACTGAGTACGGTCTTCTAACAGGTACACAATTAACTCGTAAGTAGACAACACAATGGCAGTATTTGGGATCTGCCGGATGAGCTGGGCAAAGAGTCCTCTATAAAAGGCGAGGTAGCCTTCTTCCCGGAACACCAGGCGCGCCGTCTGGACAAAGGACTTGTACTTGGTGCCCTCCTCCCGGAGCCTCGTCCTTATGACTTCTGCAGAGAGAGAAAGACCTACTTTACACCAGATATTAAGTGGGGAAAGAATCCATAGCACGCAGCTTTAAAACTGTCAAGGTTAGGCCGGGTGCAGTGGCTCACGCCCGTAATCCCAGAACTTTGGGAGGCAGAGGTGGGCAGATCACTTGAGCCCAGGCACTGGAGACCAGCCTGGCCAACATGGTGAAACCCCATCTCTACTAAAAATACAAAGATTAGCAGGGCGTGGTGGTGCACGCCTACTATTAGAGTGTCTGAGGAATGAGGATCCCTTGAACCGGGGAGGTGGAGGTTGCAGTGAGCCGGGATCATGCCACTGCATGCTAGCTTGAGCCACAGAGCAAGCTAGACTCTGTCTCAAAAAATAAATTGTCAAGTTTACAACTATATTTCCCATCTCAGCTGTATTTGGACAGAAGAGTCACATACCTAGAGAGACAATGAAAAATTAAGTTATTTTTAAAACCTTTTCCAACTCTAGGATTTGGTCAACTATGGATGCTTACATATACACAAAAGTGCAAAATAACTTTTTTTTTTTTTTTTTGAGGCAGAATCTTGCTCTGTCACCCAGGCTGGAGTGCAATGGTGCAATCTCGGCTCAGTGCAACCTCTGCCTCCTGGGTTCAAGTGATTCTCTTGCCTCAGCCTCCTGCGTAGGTGGGATTACAGGCACCCGCCATCACGCCCGATTAATTTTTGTATTTTTAGTAGAGACGAGGTTTCACCATATTGGCCAGGCTGGTTTTGAACTCCTGATCTCAGGTGATCTGCCCACCACCTTGGCCTCCCAAAGTTCTGGGATTACAGCAAAATAACTTTTTTTTTTTTTTTTTTTGAGACGGAGTTTCGCTCTTGTTACGCAGGCTGGAGTGCAAGGGCGCGATCTCAGCTCACCGCAACCTCCGCCTCCTGGGTTCAGGCAATTCTCCTGCCTCAGCCTCCTGAGTAGCTGGGATTACAGGCACGCGCCACCATGCCCAGCTCATTTTTGTATTTTTAGTAGAGACAGGGTTTCACCGTGTTGACCAAGATGGTCTCGATCTCTTGACCTCGTGATCCACCCGCCTTGGCCTCCCACAGTGCTGGGATTACAGGCGTGAGCCACTGCGCCCGGCCAACAGAAAAATAACTTTTAAGGGGTTAAAAAAAAAAAGCTTAGTTTGAATGGGACTTAATGTTACTCCCAATTAAGCAAGTGCTAATTTCTCTGAAGGTGTAATTTGCATGAAGTATGCAGTATATTCAACAAATTCTTTTCTTACACTTTTCAGTTTTCTCCTCCTCCTGCAAACCTGTTCTACTCTGTCCAACTCAAAAGCCACCCTCTCCTTTTGCCAGCCTTTGCCCATCTGGCCCTCCCTCCCAGGCGCCCACAGTTGGACATTCATCACTCCTGCCCTCACATGACCTCAGGCCCTGGGAGGCATCAGTGACCTCTTTTCTCAGGTGTCCTTTGGGGTCAGCTTAGCAACCCAGCACACGAGGGAGATTCAGCACCTGTTACTGGGTTGACCATGTGCATTTGTCAGAGCTGACCGTACAGTAAGTTTATGAAAATAAACCTGCTTTTCATGGCACAATAAACTAAGCATCTTTAAAAAATAAGTAGGTCAGTAGGTCAACAACTCTATAACTTAAAAAAATAAACTTACCCAAAGTCGCCTTACTTAAGGTTCCATTAAAAGTGGTGGCTGAGTGATTTTTAAGTTTGGTTTCCATATTGTTTTGATTCAAGGAATATTAAATAAAATCCAGATTTTTGGCTTCTTTTAAAACAGCAGAAGTTCAGCAACCCAGGGTCTGCATTTCTGAACAGCAAGTTTTGGCCACAACCAGCTGGAGGTAAGTTTGAGTCCCCCCGCCCCCAACATGACCTACGTCCATGAGGTTAGTGCCCATTTCCCTCGTCCTCACTGACCTTACCTGCAGGGACCCTGCACTTCAACGTGCGCCACGGAGGTCTAGATATACCCACAAATGACAACCCTGACAGCTGCTTTACTGTTCTGGAAGAACAAAAGCAACACGTACCGTGTGGATAAGCAATGCAGGAGGCACAGCCCTTAGAAAGAGCAGCAGCTGCCATAAGTCCAAAAAAACCTGTGGAATTTTTCTCAGTCCCATTTGTAGAAGAGGCTAATGGAGCTTCTTTCAGATACTTCTTTAAACTTTCATAAATAGCAAAGCAGATTATCGTTTCGGAAATTCCAGCATACGAGGCAGTTAATCCTCTATAGAAGCCACGAATGCCTTCGGTCCGGTAAACGTAGCGAGCACACTGGAGTGTATTCATCTGCTTAGAGCCCCTCACTCTGCGTAAAAGAGACCGGCATAGGCTGTTAAGGAGACATATCACGGTGGAATACACAGAGACATCACACAGTAGGCCAAATGGGTCTTCCTTGCGGTGTGTCTCCATTCCTGGCCCCTAATTCCCATAGCCCTTGCCTTTTGTTACAATGTGGGGTGTGTGAGGCCTCAGGGCAGCCTCTGAGAGTCCCTTGTCCTCCTTTCACCTGCCCCAAGGCCATTCTCTAATGTCCCTACACCTTTCTGATTGTTGGTCTTACTCCATGAGAGTCCCCTCCTATCCCCTGGGGGAAGGAATGCTGCTGGCATGAAGCTCCCATAAAAACCCAAGAGGACAGGTTTCAGGGACTTCTAGAGCTGATCCAGTGGAGGCTCCCGGAGGGTGGCCCCCAGGGAGGGTATGAAAGTTCCCCGTCTCTTACTCTGTACCTGTCCCTACCTGTCTCTTCTTCGGTATCTTTGCAATATCCTTTATAACAAACCAGTCAACATTAAGTGTTTCCCTGGGTTCTGAGTGTGAGCCACTCCAGCAAATTAACAGAACCCAAAGAGAGGGTCACAGGAACCCCAACTTGAAGCTGGTTGTTCAGCTCTGGAGGCCCAGACATGCAACTGGTGTGTGGGTGGGTGGGGGTGGGCAGTCCTGGGGACTGAGCCCCCAAACTGTAGAATCTGACGCTATCTCCAGGTAGGCAGTGTTGGAACTGAACAAAAGGACATCCACCTGGTGTCTGCTGCTTGTGTGTGGGGGAAAAAACCCCTGCACATTTGGTCACAGAGGTCATCTTCTGGGTCAATGACTGTTGTGGTGTGACAGTGGAGGAAAAACATGGTTTGAGGAGAGTTTTTCCCACGTATCTTTGTACTGTTGTCAGCTGATCCTCAGCCCACTGTGAGGCCAGACCAATTAGCTGGGACACCTGACAGGCCCACACAATACTAGCTACATCTGTATCAAGAGTCACAGAAACATGTTCATAAAAACATCAGCATTTGACCTAATTTTTGAAAGAGCTGCAGGGAGCAGTAAGACTCATCACAGAGGACCTACAAATGCAAAACGGAACAATCCAGAAAGCTGACCCTGGCACATCTGCTCGATTAACAGTCACAAGCCATGACACGCGGGCAATGCTTTCAGTGGAATACAGGACTAAGTTAAAGGTAAAGGATGATCACAAGAGCCAGGGGCAGTGGCTCACATCTATAATCCCAGCACTTCTGGAGGCCGAGGTAGGAGGACTGCTAGAGGCCAGGAGTTCAAGACCAGCCTGGCAAATGTAGTGAGGCCCCATCTCTACAAAAAAAAAAAAAAAAAAGTAAAATAGGAACATTCCAACCTGTTGGTGAGGCTTCTCATTAGATTTCTGACAGCACTCATCTCCAAATAGTGTGTTTTAATTCTATTATTGCTAAATTTATAAAATTAGTGAATGAAAACCCTCAGGTACAGAGGCTCCTACCCCAGGACATAAACTATTTATGAACTGCGGCTGCAAGGCAGGAAGTGGGCCACTGGATGAGTGTAGTTAGGTGTGCACCGGTCACACGTCACAGGCCCCTCCCAGGAGGCGAACACCTGAGGCCCCCTTTGGGCTTCAGTCAGTCTCAGCTGGCCTCTGTCCCTTCCTTATCATCTCCCCATAGACTGTTCCCGTTCCTTAGCCACAGTGACCTTTGTAACACAAATCCAACCATGCAACTCCTGTGCTCAAAACCATGCAGAATTTCTCATCCATGGCACTATTCACATTTGGGGCTAGACCATTCAGTTAGGGGAGAAGGGGGCTGTCCTGTGCCTTGTAGATGTTTAGCAGCAACCCAGCCTCTATTTACACTAGACGCCAAAAACACCCACCCCAGTTGTGCCAACTACAAATGTCTCCAAACTTTGCTGCTGACTGTCCCCTGGAGGGCACACCCCATCTCCATCCTCATTTCCCCTGAGGACCGCTGCTCTGATGACTTTCCACTGCCCTCAAAACCCAACTCCAAACTCCCTTTGAGGCCTGGGAAGGATTAGGCTCCCCTGCTCCTCCAGTCTTATTTTTCCAAAATTCCCTTCTCTGGCACAGATGCACATAGTACACACCAACCACACTTCCCGTCTTACAGATCCCCAGAACTAACCACGCTTTCTTTTCTTTTTTTTGAGACGGACTCTTACTCACTCTGTCCCCCAGGTTGGAGTGCAGTGGTGCGATTTCAGCTCACTGCAACCTCTACCTTCTGGATTCAAGCAATTCTCCTGCTTCAGCCTCCCAAGAAGCTGGGACTACAGGTGCGCGCCACCACGCCCAGCTAATTTTTGTATTTTTTGTAGAGACAGGGTTTCACCATGTTGCCCAGGCTGGTCTCAAACTCCTAAGCTCAAGTGATCTGCACGCCTTGGCCTCCCAAAGTGCTGGGATTACAGGCGTGAGGCACCGTGGCCGGCCTAACCATGCTTTCTTGCCTCAAGATTCACTCGCCCTCTCTCTGCCCAACTCTTCACTGCCGCTCCCACCTGGCTATTCTTTTTTGTCTTCTAAATCAGTGTCATTTATTGCATTATTTAAATATCACAAATAGGTCTTAGGGATCATCTGGCATTTTGTTTCTATAGCTGGACAACTCTTAGATCTTATTCATCAGCCTGCTGAACTGTTCCTTCTTCAGAGACATAGGTATCGTCCAAAAATTTCCTGATATCCTTGTTTTTAAGTGTTGTGGCTTGCGGAATCAAGGCTACTGAAGTTGAAACAAGCTCAATGTCATTTCCTTCAAGGATTCAATTCATCTTTCTGGGCTGGAGATACTGAAAAAGCGATACCTGGTCTCATCCGAACCCTGTAGATATATTTTTCACCCAAGAAATTTTGGATTTCAACAAGAGGCCCATTCTCCTGGAAAACAACATTGATGGGGAAGTGAGCACACGCAGACCTCATCTTGTAACGGACGCCCCATGTAATACCCTTGGTCACGTTCTCTGCGTAACTACAAACAGCCCGAATGGCAGCCAGTTCCTTTCTGTTACCTCACCATTTGTCACCCAGAGCCTCTTTTTTTCCCTTTCCAAAAAGACTGAGTTCTACACTGATGTGACTGACGTCCCTCCACAGGGTTCCTCGGGGGCCCTTCACAATAACTGTGTATCCCTTTAGGGTAATGTGTGCATTTTCTGGAATGTTGACAGTCTGACTGCTGAGAATGGTCTTCATTCTTGCAGATGTGGCAAAGTCCCCGGGGCTATTCTGAAGATGATAGTTGGGTGCTGCTGCCTCTGAAGCCCTCCCAATCTTCTCTCTCCTAACCCAACCTGTATGTACTGGGGACTCTTAAGGTCCAGTGGCACCCTCAGCACCCTTATCCCACCAAACTTTAATTCTCTCTCTTTTTTTTTTTTTTTTTTTTTGAGATGGAGTTTCACTCTTGTTACCCAGGCTGGAGTGTAATGGTGCGATCTTGGCTCACCGCAACCTCTGCCTCCTGAGTTCAAGAAATTCTCCTGCCGCAGCCTCCCGAGTAGTTGGGACTACAGGCGCACACCACCATGCCCAGCTAATTTTTGTATTTTTAGTAGAGACAGGGTTTCACCATGTTGACCAGGATGGTCTCGATCTCCTGACCTCGTGATCCACCCGCCTCGGCCTCCCACAGTGCTGGGATTATAGGCGTGAGCCACCGCGCCTGGCCTAATTTTCTTTTTCATCTGTAAAGCTGTAAGCTCCTAGATGAAGCTCCCTGCTTTTTCCCTATTGACTAGTGCAAGCAACAAATATCCATTGCTGAGGGATAAATATTAACAGAGCTCACCCAAACAAAGTTCTAAAGTCTTCTGTGCACCATAATTATTAGGCAGAATGACAAGAACGCACATAAAGGCTCTCTCAGCTGATGGACCCGTTTATCCCTTGCTAAACAGAGTGATATAAGGACACTGTGGAACACCTGGAATTAGGAGGAATTACCAAAGGCTTCCAGGATAGTTGACAGCATGACCAGGAAGGGGAGGGAGGATCTCGGGTGAGGGACAGCATACATGGGAGACAGAGGTATAAAAGCACATGACATTTTTGGAAAATTACAGGACTGCTGAATTAGTAGTTTACCCTGAGAAGAACAGATTCATTGAAAGAGTCTGAGCAAGTGGTCTCTTCAAATGATTAGGCCTAATGCGAGTTAGAAGGCTCTCTTTCGGACAGAATAAATTGGCTGGGGGAACTTGGAGTCAGTGACTCATGCAGAAGCTATCACGGTCATTAGAAAGAAAAATCAACTGTGGCCCCCTACCTGCCCTTCCTAAGGTGTTCTCACTCCCTGCCTGCCTTTTTTTTTTCCCAGACAGTCTCACTCTATCACCCAGGCTGGAGTGCAGTGGTGTGATCTCAGCTCACTGCAACCTCCACCTCCTGGGTTCAAGCGATTCTCCCTAGTGGCTAGGATTCTCAAGCCCGAGTAGCTAGGGTTACAGGTACCCACCACCACACCTAGCTAATTTTTGTATCTGTAGTAGAGACGGGATTTCGTCATGTTGGCCAGGCTGGTCTTAAACTTCTGACCTCATGATCCACCCACCTCAGCCTCCCAAAGCGCTGGGATTACAGGTGTGAGCCACCGCGCCTGGCCAACATAGGGGCTCTTAATAGAATGCTGGTAGTTCCTTCACTTGGACTGGGGAGAAAATGGTATCTTTAACCCTAATCCCTAACCAAAATCAGCATTCCTTCAATTATGAATGAAGACAAACAGGCCACAGTAGTAGAAGTGGTAGTGGTAGTAGTAGCGGTGGTAGTAACAGTAGTGGTAGTGGTCGTGGCAGTGGTAGCAATAGTGGTGGGAGTAGCAGTGGTGGTAGTACTAGTGGTGGTGGGAGTATTAGTGGTAGTACTAGTGGTAGTAATAGTAGTAGTGGGAGTAGCAGTGGTGGTAGTAGCAGTGGTAGTACTAGTGGTAGCAGTAGTGGTGGTGGGAGTATTAGTGGTGGTAGCAGTATTAGTGGTAGTACTAGTGGCGGTGGGAGTATTAGTGGTAGTACTAGTGGTAGTAATAGTAGAAGTGGGAGTAGCAGTGGTGGTAGTAGCAGTGGTAGTACTAGTGGTGGGAGTATTAGTGGTGGGAGTAATGGCAGTAGTAGTAGGAGCGGGAGTATTAGTGGTGGTAGTAGTAGTATTAGTGGTAGTACTAGTGGTGGTGAGAGTATTAGTGGTGGTAGTAGTGGCAGTAGTAGTAGTTGTGGGAGTATTAGTGGTGGTGGTAGTAGTAGTAGTGGGAGTAGCAATGGTGGTGGTAGCAGGAGTGGTGATGGCAATAGTAGAGGTGGTGGTAATAGTAGCAGTACCTGTGATTTGACACAAATAGAAGTATTTTCATGTCACATTACATTTGTTGAAAGGACACTGTTTATCATTACTTCTTAGAAATTATGGTAGTAACTGGACTACTGCTAGATCTTCTTAATGTGTTAAAGAGGCATACTACTATATCACTGATAAATGTATTTTTAAAAACCTTATCGTAAGGTCTGGTGTGGTGGTTTATGCCTGTTATCCCAGCACTTTGGGAAGCTGAGGTGGGATGATTGCTTGAGCCCAGGAGTTGAGACCAGCCTGGGCAAGAGGGCAAGATCCATCTCAACAAGAAAAACAAAGTTAGCTGGGTGTGGTGGCATGCATCTGTGGTCTCAAACTACTGAGGATGTGAGGCTGATGCAGGAGGATTGCTTGAGCCTGGGAGCTCAGGGCTGGGTGATAAATGAGACCTTGTCTTAAAAAATACATGAATCCATCTGGGAGGCAAAGGTTGCAGTGAGCCGAGACTGCACCACTGCACTTCAGCCTGGGCAACAACTGAGAGCCTGTCTCAGAAAAAAAAACCCCCACAACAACAACATTATTCTAAAAAGGGCCTGCAGGTGTCACCAGACTGCCAAAGGAATCCACAGCCCGCCAAAACATTACAAACCCTGGCTGGAGTTTTAGGGCAGGAACCTATTACAGCTGAGGGCCTTTGGAGACTAAAATTAGCCTTCTGAGGTCCGAGGATATTCCGTGTTCTGCCTTTTCTGTCTTCACTTTGGAAAGGGAGGCCATCCAAGGAGAATCCACAGCACTCCAACTGGGGTGGGGTCTGCAAAGGGCAGTCACTGGCTATCTGAGAAGGCAGGCTCAGGGGACACAACCAGAGAAACCCCCTTCTTCCCATTTGTCATCTCTGTCAGCCCTCATCTTCCCATGATGCTCACAGCACAAACCTCAATACAGAAGGAACCCCACATGTGCTTAGATTTAGAAAACGAGGAGGGGGATAGCTAAGGACTCTGTATCTCATCCCTTAGAGATATGGGGGAATTGCGGAAGAAAAAAAATCCCCAAAATCCTTTATTAAGGAACAAGTTATTACTTGTTAATAATAAAGTCCTTACTACTTACTTTCGTTCTAGCTGCATTCGGGTTTTAACCATCCATATAGGATTCATTAAGGAATTTGTGATAAAAGCTGGAAAAAAAAAAACAGTAAAGGTCAATACTTATTAAAGATGTCTATTGTTACATGATAAACTTTGAAATCAGGATTTCAATGGCCTAATAAAAATAGATGGCAGGAGGCAGTTATATTTCTATCCTGCAGATAGAAGCTTTGGTTTCCCCGTTAAGTGTAACATCTACTGGTATTGCTGGATCTAAAAGAAGTTTCTCTCATTTTTCTAGAACCCCTTCTAGTCTTTTCAACCTCTAGGTGGTGCTGTTGATATTTGTGTTAATGTGATTCCCACTGTAAATTACAACTGTCCTAAACCCCAATTTATAAGCTTCAGATACAGAAATAATTTGTTAACTTTAAGACTGATCTGCTTATAGGAACCGTTTTGTCAGTAAGCCCTCTCCATCTAATTTTTTTTTTTTTTTTGTAGAGACGGGGGTCTCTTTTGTTGCTCAAGCTGGTCTCGATTCCTGGGCTCAAGTGATCCTCCAGCCTCAGCCTCCCACAGTGCTGGGATTACAAGCACGAGCCACCACATCCAGCCAAGCCTTCCCCACCTCAACACTGTGAACCATTCCAGGACAATCAAGAAAAGCAACAACATGGTATTAATCTGACACACGGTATCGCTTCTCTAATACCTCATGCTCTCCACAGTGCCAGGGGAGCAGATTAATTTGATACTAGGATGAAACACTATGCCACTGGTTTTAAGGACTTCTTTAAGGCCTGTTTATTTACCAAGGGCTCTTTCTAAATTAACTTGGCAAAAGTTACAAAGCGGATTAGTAGTTCTTAGCTCATGGTAACTCACTGCTGGCCTATCTTTAAGTGAACAGCAACCTACTTTGGAACTCTGCCTTTCCTCCTCGGAGCTCTGTATTACACAGCAATGGCTTCCTTATATAAACCAACTTTAATATTTTCTATTCAGGGTCTAGAAATAATTAGCTATAAATATTCAGACAGGTTGGTCGCACTTGTATTTGGAGTAACAACAGCAGTCAAAACTGGTGTGCATCTTACAGACTGGTAGGAGATGCAAATTGTTTGTAAAATGCCAATTTATCTTTCTAGGCACGGCCTAGTGGTGGCTCACACCTGTCATCCCAGCACTCTAGGAGACTGAGGCGGGTGGATCACTTGAGCTCAGGAGTTTGAGACCAGCTTGAACAACATGGTTAAACTCTATTCTTGCAAAAAATACAGAAAAACTAGCTGGGCATGGTGGCGTATGCCTGTAGTTCCAGCTACTCGAGAGGCTGAGGCAGGAGGATGGCTTGAGCCCAGGAGGTAGAGGCTGCAGTGAGCTGACATCATGGCACTGCACTCTATCCTAGGCGACAGAGCCAGACCCTGTATCAAAGCAAAACAAAGCCAATTTTAAAAACCCCTTCTATTTAAATGGACATAGAACTCTATATAAAAGAGCCTTCTCTCAGAAAGCTACACGTTCATGTTTTGCAACCAGTACATCGTGGGGAAAAGTCCTGCTGTGACTTTTCTGTAGGAAGTGGAATGGTTCCCTCAAAAGAGAACAGATGCCCTACTAGCTGCCACAGACCCTGCTGGAAAACTCCACCTCAAGCCCCACACCCTAACTTCATCACCCAGAGCTGTAGTCAGGAGTACCAACTAAGCTGGGCACAGTGGCTCACACCTATAATCCCAGCACTTTGGGAGGCCGAGGCGGGCAGATCACGAGGTCAGGAGATTGAGACCATCCTAGCTAACACAGTGAAACCCTGTGTCTACTAAAAATACAGAAAAGTAGCCAGGCATGGTGGCACGCGCCTGTAGTCCTAGCTACTCGGGAGGCTGAGGCAGAATCGCTTGAACCCAGGAGGCGGAGGTTGCAGTGAGCCAAGATCGCACCACTGCACTCCAGTCTGGGGACAGAGTGAGACTCCGTCTAAAAAAAAAAGTGCCAACTGTACACAGGGTGTGTGGGACCCCCTATGGGAGGATCACAAAGAAAGCAGCTCTAATTTTAGAAAATCATCTGATGGAGGCGGGTGCAGTGGCTCATGCCTGTAACCAAAGCACTTTGGGAGGCCAAGGCGGGTGGATCACTTTAGGTTAGGAGTTTGAGGCCAGCCTGGGCAACATGGTGAAACCCCGTCTCTACTAAAAATGCAAAAATTAGCCAGGCATGGTGGCAACTACTTGTAATCTCAGCTACTCGGGAGGCTGAGGCACAAGAATCACTTTAGCTTGGGAGGTGGAGGCTGCAGTGAGCCGAGATCGTACCACTGCACTCCAGTCTCATCCTAAAAGAATGAGACTCTGTGTCAAAAAAAGAAAAAAAAAATCACTTGATGGGGAAACAGGAAGACATGAAAAGTTATGACTATTCCTTTAGAAGAAGGAAATACGAGCCGGGCACAGTGGCTCACGCTTATAATCCCAGCACTTTGGGAGGCTGAGGGGGGCGGATCACGAGATCAGGAGTTCAAGACCAGCCTGGTCAACACAGTGAAGCCCCGTCTCTACTAAAAATACAAATATTACCAGGGCATAGTGTCAGGCGCCTGTAATCCCAGCTACTCGAGAGGCTGAGAAAGGAGAATTGCTTGAACCCGGGAGGTGGAAGTTGCAGTGAGCCGAAATCATGCCACTGCAATCCAGCCTGGGTGACAGAGCCAGACTCCGTCTCAAAAAAACAAAAACAAATAACAACAACAACAAAACCCCCCGAAGTATGAAATACCAGTAGCATGTATAGAGCATGTAAATTCTGAGGGCAAATAAAGAGCTTTAGTAGCCAAGGAAAAGGAAATCAAGCTACAAACCGCTCTGACTCATTGTATCGGTTGTAACAAAGCTTTAGAAAAACGATTTTAGGTGCAAAGGAAGCAGGGAGCTAATTTCTAATTCCTGGAGAAACTGTTTGGCACAATGCATGCTTTAGAAAAGCGAGAGAGAAACCCTCTCTTCACTCGCTAGAGTAACATACCTGCAGAGCCAGCTGAGAAAATATGCACAATATTGCTGTTAGGCACGAAAATGCCATTAAATTGCTCTTTGGCTTTGGAGTAACATGCAAAGTATACAGCCCTGTTAGAACAAAGAGAACATTATAAAGAAATCATCATGGTGCAACTTTCTATGTCCCTCCAGAACACCTGAAAAATTCAGGAAAATAAAACAGGAAAGACACTGCCATGTAGCCAAAAAGCTCATCCTCGCCTGTGCTAAAACCAAAACCTGCCACAGGCACGTTCAGGAAGCCCCTGTTTGTCCCTCCAGAAATGATTTAGTGATGACAGAGGTGTTTGAAGTAATCGAGGGAGGTGAGATTTGGGGAAAACATCTACGAAGTCCTTTTACATTCTTCATTCTGGATAAATGCCAATTCTTTAAGCATCAACACATTGGAAGTTTAACTTTTTAAAGTATTTCTAGAATAGACCATACTTTTTCACCTTGTGCCAAAATGAGAATGTTGAATATAATTTGAACTGTTTTTGGATGACAAGGATCACACAGAACAGTCATCATATCACACCTGTGTTTTCATAAAGGGTCCTCCTCCCACCCTTGCCTTGACTATTGCAGAGTGGTCCTGTCACCCGTTTTCTCTTCACTTTTACCCCCGCTGTCTTCCCTCTTGTTGGGGCTGGGGAATAAGCGCTACTTGGGATTTTTCCTTTCTTTCACCAGCAATGCAGGGAAAAATGTTTCTTTCTTCTGCTGGCCAATCGATCAATCATAGAACATATTTTTCAAGTTAGGATCTCAACTACTTATCATTATTGTGTTATAAAAGTCTTCCTGGCCGGGCGCAGTGGCTCACACCTGTAATCACAGCATTTTGAGAGGCCGAGGTGGGCGGATCATGAGGTCAGGAGTTCAAGACCAGCCTGGCCAACATAGTGAAATCTTGTCTCTACTAAAAATACAAAAATTAGCTGGGTATTGTGGCACGTGCCTGTAGTCCCAGCTACTCGGGAGGCTGAGGCAGAGGTTGTGGTGAGCCGAGATCACACCACTGCACTCCAGTCTGGGCGAAAGGGCAAAACTCCATGTCAAAAAAAAAAAGCAGATTCTGATGCAGGTCTGGGCTGTACCCTGAGATTGTATGTTTATAACAAGCTCCCAGACAATACTAACGCTGCTGGCCATGTGCCATACTTAGAGTAGCAAACACTTAGAGTACATTACGGTAATTATAGCAGATTTTCACACTTAAGAATATGAAGAATACAGTAAGCAGAATCTCTTTTACACACTGAAGAAACACCTACAATTTTCAATGACTGTTTGCTATGTCCACTATATTTAGGCAAATCTAACACAGAAAAAGACACTGGTCATTCAGCAGCATCACCCTTTGGTATGAAAGGGCCCAGTATTCCATACTGCTTCGCATGGGCTAGCTGGAAATCTTAATGCTTACCTTGATGGTGCAACTCCAACCAAATTTGGACCCAAGCCTCTAAAAAGGGACTTTGGTCCCTCTTTCTCCAAGATCGACCTGAATAATAAGAAAAGACAAATCTTTAAAACCCCTTAGGCAAGGCCTATGAAAAATGAGGAGGAGTCAACCTTCCCATTAGTTTCTTGAGAGAATAAAATGTTTGCGTGATCTCAGGCTCGACTCTTAACTGATTCGATTACAATACAGAACAGGAAGGCTGTAGAATACTGCTATCGCACACAGTGAAAAACCATGCTTCAGAAACCATCAGTTAGACATTTTTTCTTTTTTGTTTGAGACAGAGTTTGGCTCTGTCACCCAGGCTAAGTGCAGTAATGCGATCTCAGCTCACTGCAACCTCCGCCGCCCAGATTCAAGTGATTCTCCTGCCTCAGCCTCCCGAAGAGCTGAGGATTACAGGCACCCGCCACTATCCCCGGCTAATTTTTTTTTTTTAGTAGAGATGAGGTTTTGCCATGTTAGCCAGGCTGTTTTTGAACTCCTCACCTCAGGTAATCCGCCTGGCTTGGCCTCCCAGAGTGCTAAGATTACAGGCCTGAGCCACTGCGCCTGGCACAGTTTGACATATTTTCAAGAAGCCATTTCCCCTGTTCACACAAGAGGAAGATGTGCAGGGTCTACACTATACAATGAAATCCTGTGAAGGTAGGATGAGTATGGCAGAGGGTTCCACACAGGGAATAATATCCTCATCATAACAAGATTCACTGAGAAACAGGTTCAGAGATTTCTTTTGGATTTACTGCTTCTAACATTTCTATCTTCTAGATCTTTACCTTATGTAGTAGAATCTTATACAGGGATATATGGAATAGAGCCAGCTCAGTGGCTCATACCTGTAATCCCAGCACTTCGGGAGACCCAGGCAGGAGGATCACATCACTTGAACCCAGGAGTTCCAGACCAGCCTGGGCAACATAGTTAAGACCCCATCCCTACAAAAAATGAAATAATTAGCCAGGTATGGCAGCGTGTGCCTGTGGTACCAGCTACTCAGGAGGCTGAGGTGAGAGAATTGCTTAGCCTGGGAGGTCAAGGCTGCAGTGAGCCATGATCACACCACTGCACTCCAGCTTTGGCGACAGAGAGATACCTTGTCTCAAAAATTAAGGGAAAAAAAAAAGTCAGCCGGGCGCGGTGGCTCAAGCCTGTAATCCCAGCACTTTGGGAGGCTGAGGCGGGTGGATCACGAGGTCAAGAGATCGAGACCATCCTGGTCAACATGGTGAAACCCCGTCTCTACTAAAAATACAAAAAAATTAGCTGGAGGCCGGGCTCGGTGGCTCAAGCCTGTAATCCCAGCACTGTGGGAGGCCGAGGCGGGTGGATCACGAGGTCAAGAGATCAAGACCAACCTGGTCAACATGGTGAAACCCCGTCTCTACTAAAACTACAAAAAATTAGCTGGGCATGGTGGCGCGTGCCTGTAATCCCAGCGACTCAGGAGGCTGGGGCAGGAGAATTGCCTGAACCCAGGAGGCGGAGGTTGCGGTGAGCCGAGATCGTGCCATTGCACTCCAGCCTGGGTAACAAGAGTGGAACTCCGTCTCAAAAAAAAAAAAAAAAAAAAAAAGTTGGTGGGGCTGGGAGGGGTGCAGATTTTAAGGAACAGAAAACTAATAATTTTCAGGGACAGGATGATGGTTATTTAAAACCAAAGCCTAGTATCTCAAGTCCAAAGATGATACCATGACTGCTTTTTCTTTTAAACTATTTTTTTTTGGTGGTGACATATGCATAATAGAAAATTTACCATTGTAACCATTTAAAAAATTTTAAGAACAATTTTTATTTTCTTGCTCTGATTTGAACATTTAATAAAAACGTTTATTTAGGTTGAGATCTTAAAGTTGTCAGTGAAGCCTCAAATTTACCTAACAGTTTGCATCCAGTAGTTTTTTGGGGTAACACAAATGTCAGTAGGGCCAAATGTTAACTCATTGGCTTTTTGTGTTAATATCAAATTAATATTTGTAATATAGTGTTCCTAAACAGATATGAAAACTTCTTGGAATTATTTTTAAATTGCTGTAAAGAAATAAAATAATTTTTGACACTTAAATGAAAGCTTGGTTGTTTTAGAGAAATTCAGACAATAATCTATACAAGCTATCAGGAAAACTGGATAATGCAAAAAGCCATAAGTAATGGAAATAATTTGAGTAAATACGCAGATGTGGTATTTCGTAAACCTAATGCTTAAAAGTACAAAATCCTGAAATATAATGGAAATGTTTACCAAAGTAAAAGAATGCTAGTGAAATGCAAAAACTATTCCGTAAAATTTTGACAGGAGTTTTTTCTTCTCATTCCTATTGTGAGGATATTTAATAATATTTTCTCAAGTATGATCAAAAATAGCAGACAGTTAGTATCTAGGGGCTGGTTTGTTTGACATAACTGGTACTAAAAAGAGCAGTTCTCTGAAGAGAGAGCAGTCATATTTTTAGTTAAATGTCAAGAAGACCTGCTGAAATGCACATAATAAAACACTGCTTCCTTTATTTTCCATTCCATGGAATACTATGCAATCATAAAAAAGGAAATCATGTCTTTCACAGGAACATGGATGAGGCTGGAGGCCATCATCCTTAGCATACTGGGTGGACAAAATAAACTGTGCAAAAAGCCACTGGGATACCAGTTTACCTATGTAACAAACCTGCACATGTACACCTGAACCTAAGCCAGTGAGCCAAGATTGAACCACTGCATTCCAGCCTGGGTGCCAGATTGAGACTTCTCCAGTGGATCTTCCTTGACTGATGATCTTCCTATTTAATTTCGGTTTTACTGCCTTCAATTATGTTGTTTTTTGGTTCTTTGCATTTCGCTATACCAAAACGGCATGTAAGCTTGGAATCATTTGCGCATGTGCAGGAAGAAGCAAAGTGGGAGCCCTTCCTCCCAGCAGAACCTTCCTCTGGAGGCTGGTTGTGCAGTCCCAGGTCCCCTCCAGGCTGCATGGGGCGGCCCTGCCACCACCTTGAGGCCACCAAAGGATCGATGGCTGTTGACTCCGAGGCCCCTGCACCTACAGCGCTCACGCTCAAGGGAACAGTGAGGGCCCAGTGCGCCCGCCTGGTCCCCTCTCTTCCCTCCCACTCCCTCTCAGGAGGTCCTGGGAGCACAACCCTGGGCCATTGTAACCATTTTTAAGTGTACAGTTCAGTGGCATTAAGTACATCCACACTGTTGTGCAACCATCACCACCATCTACCTCCAGAACCTTTCCAACTTTTCAAACTGAGCCTCTGCAATCCTTAAGCACTAGTTCCCTAGACCTCTCTCCTGCCAGGTCCTGGCAGCCACCATTCTGTCTATAAATCTGACAACTCTAGGTATCTCTTATCAGTGGAGTCACATCTATTTTTGTCACTGGCTTATTTCGCCTAGTCTTTGAGGTTCATCCACGTTGTAGCACGTGTCAGAATTTTCTTCTTTTTAATCTTTTTTTTTTGAGACAGGGTCTCACTCCATCACCCAGACTAGAGTGCTGCGGCAAGATCTTGGCTCACTGCAATCTCCACCTCCTGGGTTCAAGCGATTCTCATGCCTCAGCCTCCCCAGTAGCTGGGATTACAGTTGAGTGCCACCATGGCCAGCTAATTTTTGTATATATATATACACATATATTTAAATAGATATTGGGTGTCACCATCTTGGCCAGGCTGGTCTCAAATTCCTGGCCTCAAGCGATCCACCCACCTTGGCCTCCCTAAGTGCTGGGATTACAGGTGTGAGCCACTGCGACCACCCAGAATTTCTTTTTTTTTTTTATTAAAAAGGCTGAATACTATTCCATTCCTATATATACCACATTTTATTATCCATCTATCCATTGATGGACACGTGGGTTGCTTCCATGTTTTGGCTATTACAAATAGTGCTGATATAAACATGGGTATACAAATATCTGTTTGAGTCACTGCTTTGGATTCTTTTGAGGAATCCAAGTGGAATTGATGGACACATGGTAATTCTATGCCTAATTTTCTGAGGAACCATGAGGCTGTTTTCCACAGTCGTTACACCACCTTACGTTCTCACCTGCAACATAAAAGGGGTTCCGACTTCTCTATTACCTCACCAACGTGCTTTTCACAAAAAATGTTAAATATTGTTTCTGATTAAAAGAGACTCAGAAAATCATAAAAGGATTGTATGGAACATTCTTTAGAGGCATTTTTCCACTGCAACACAGTTATTCAAGTTGATTAAGCTGATTCTCTTCAATGGTTCAATTTCCATGGTATCCAAGAGAATTTACATTGTTATATTATGGTCTTCTCTAAAATTTAATCTCCTTTTCTTTTTTTTTTTTTTTTTTTTTTTTTTTTTGAGACAGAGTTTTTCTCTTTTTACCCAGGCTGGAGTGCAATGGCGCGATCTCGGCTCACCGCAACCTCCGCCTCCTGGGTTCAGGCAATTCTCCTGCCTCAGCCTCCTGAGTCGCTGGGATTACAGGCACGCGCCACCATGCCCAGCTAATTTTTTGTATTTTTAGTAGAGACGGGGTTTCACCATGTTGACCAAGATGGTCTCGATCTCTTGACCTCGCGATCCACCCGCCTCGGCCTCCCAAAGTGCTGGGATTACAGGCGTGAGCCACCGCGCCCGGCATTTAATCTCCTTTTCTTATCGAGGGTCTTTCTCTACTAGTAGTCCCTTCCACTTGACAGCACTCAGGGTTGATCTGGCTCACAAATAATCATATGCTAGTCAAAAGTATTTTAAGAGAATGGCCGGGAGTGGTGGCTCACGCCTGTAATCCTAGTACATCTGGGAGGCTGAAGTGGGTGGATCACTTGAGCTCAGGAGTTTGAGACCAGCCTGGCCAACATGGTAAAACCCCAACTCTGTTAAAAAACCAAAAATTAGCCGGAGATTGCTTGATCCTGGGAGGTGGAGGCTGCAGTGAGCTGAGGTGGCACCACCGCACTCCGGCTGGGCAACAGAGCAGGACTCCATCTCAAAAAGAAAAAAACAGTTAATAAAATGTTTTACCTTCATTATAACACGCAGAAGGTATGATA